CCGGAAGACCCACACCAGCCATCGTATGCCGGCCGTGAAAGCCTTCGACAATACAATTAACTGCACCTTTTTTAGCCACTGTAAACTAAACTCTCAAATGCTTCCATTATCAACCTGCTAAAGATGAACCCCCACTCCTTTCAAAGCTCACAAATCCACATTGGTTGCAAAAGAAGATTGTTAATCACTTTAAAATCACCACTTTAAAACCACCATCAAGTATGAAAAATCTTCATCAACTTTAGTACAGGTAACAGTCAGAAATTATCAAATCTTACCTTCAGTAGGTACAGAGTATGATCAAGGATTGTTAAATCTGTTATGATCCACTTCACAGTCCAATGCACATCTAGAACAGAAGAATCTTGTTAAAGATGTTCAGTTTTCTGATAATACTACAATGCTCTAAATTAACACAAAAATCAGCCAGCTCTTTCATATTGTTCAACCAGGTTGTTTGTAGCGCTGGGTAACCAACTAACTAAAAACATCAGTTTTCACTTTACTTATGCAAAGTCAGCATAAGCAAAACTTTGTGAAACTGACATACAGTATTCCACTTGTAATAAGGAATTGAGTATTTATTGAATTTGAGATGGGCGGCTATATAAATTTGCTAACTAACTAAATAAATAAAATTGAGAAGCCCAAATTGCATTAAAATAAAATCCATTTCTGATTCACCTTTCTCATCATTATATAATGTTTCCAAATACCACTCTTATAATGTAATAAGCACATGTTCAAATGCAGAAGCACGTGGATGGATCTAGATTCCTCCAATCTTCTATATCTTCTATGCCCCTTGAAAACTATTTCTCAATAAGAAGACTGCTCTGTTCTTGCTAACCTTTCCTCAAAATGTGAAGCAGCAGGAAAGAGCTCATGAAAGTAATTTGCAGCCCAAAACCAAATGGAACAATAATTTACATGGTACCAGACATAACAAGGATACTGAAGCAACCAAGATTATTTGCTTATATATTTATATTATTTTACTGAAGGAACTCAAAACCTATTCCCACACATTACCCCAGCCATTACATTATATCTATATGATGTCAGATTTTGGTCTCCAGCTATTACAATGGGAGTGTTTGTCTGGGTAACATTTTATTTTCCTACACTCCAGATACAGAAGTAGACCAATTATTTTGCATGGTGGTAACAGCTGCTTGTTTGTTTACTTACTTTCAATACTTGTATGCTGCCCACTGTCAAATGCTTTCGGTGACAAACAATAAACAATTTAACTCCCCCTTCAAATACATATAAAAATAAAATACATATGAATAAGCCATATGCACCGCAGATCCCACCTGCATAGTATACAGAACACCCTCCTTCTGTGCAAGATGGAAGAGAAAAGTGTTTCCTGAAGCACAAGAGGGATGAAGCAGACTGAAGTTCTGCTGGAAGGCAATTCCAGAAAATGGGGGCAGTGGTAGAAAAAACACAACTCAGTTCCCATCAGATATCAATCCCACAGGGACAGGACTTGGGAGATAACTGACCCTATGAGATCTAGTTGGACAGGTAGGTAAATGCCAGAAGAGGTAGTCTCTCAGATAACCAGGACTAGAACCATGTAGGGCCTTAAAGGTGACAACCAGCACCCTGAATCACATCAGGAGGCCCACTGGCAATCAACAGAACTTCCAAAGCAGAGAGGTCACCTGAGTACATTGGGATATACCATCACTGTCATGAAAATTCCTCACAGCACCCATCAGATAATTCTGATTATTCTTTCCTAAAAGGAAAAGGGTTGCCTTAAACAGAGCTATTGGTTGGCATTCAGCCAACACAATAAGCAAGGGTTTTTTGCAACCTGAATCGCCATTATGTAGGCTTGAACGTGAGTTCATACCGATGTCCAATCAGACACAAGACAGATCTTTGTCCAGCAGTACTCTAATCATTTCCTCCACCACTTCATCTCCCAGAGCAGATCTGCACACAGGGAGAGCCCACTCCAGTGCAATCCAGGCCAAAGCCTTGGATGTCTTATTATTCTAGACCAAAGATTCAGCCAAATTTCCCACCAAACCCTTGGGAAACTCCCCCAAAAATCTCTGAAAACCCATAAAACCCATTCGGAACTTGGGGGAGACCAATCTAATAGGTCTCCCTCACTGTGGAGTAGGGTGCTACACCAAACTCCACAGCAATCAGAGAGTAATCTGTCCCTGACAGGCAGAGTTTACAGTCCCCCACTTTCAGATCACATCCTTTCAACCACAAAACAAAAACCAGATCTAGCATGTGATTTTCATGTGCATCGAGCCCACAGTAAGTTGGGTTGGTCCATAGTGGTCTTGGCTGCCATGAACTGGGCCACTCCAAACTCCTCAACAAGGGGAATCAGGTTGAAGTCCTCCAGTACTAATAAGTGGAGAAACACCACTGCCAACTCAGCAATCAGATTAAGCAGTCTTGGCAGGGCTGCCACCATGTAGCAGGAGGAATGATATACAAGCAGCACACTCAACTGGCCCAACCACACAAATAAGGTCTCAAATCAGGCTATTTCCAGTATAGTGTCTCTAGAAAGCAAGAGAGTCTTGTGGGTGACAACAACTAGCCTCCTCCTTCCCTGCCCAGGGACCATGGCTAGTATCAAACCCAGAACCTGAGTGGGCAATTTCCAAGAGGGGAACCTCCGCCTTCACCCACTGAGGTCTCAGTAATACATTAATGTTAATGTTGTAACTCTAAAATCTTTTAAAAAGAATTATTAAAAACAAAAAAATAGAATTAGCTGTCTTGCCAGATGTTTTTTAAAAAGCACTAATAAGAAATGTTTCTGGTTTACATATATTAAAAAAAAATCTGCTCTCACCTCTATGGGTAATATGTGTTCCTCAGTCTCGGGTCCTCTACCAGAGGCCTGGGAGTTTGAGAGTTCTGTGCAGTATCTTAGCTCTA